CTTTCTGTAAAATGTTTGAAAGTGTACGTCATGGATCGTCCCCATTTTTGTTAGGCAGCCTGGATACTTAACTATCTGTCAGGAGCCCTGCTGCCTGCTTCCATCCCTCAGTCTCTTCTCAGCAGCAGCTTGCATCCTGGTTGCTAGGCAATGGCATTAGGGGTCTGTCCTCCCAGCGGCACCCGGTATGCCGGTTGCTGGGCACAGACACAGCACCTCTCCTCTGCTTGGCTAGCATCTCAGTTGATGAGCAACGGGACACAGCCTCTCAGCTCCACCAATTGCTTACTCATGGCTGCACTTTACTTTCCCTGGCTCCCTTGTTAATTGCAGGGTAACCAGTTTGGACACATGCCCCCGGCTATGGGATTGGCTGGCGCAGTAGGCACCTTATTTAAACCTCATTAGCCTGCGCCTCTGTGCTTGTCATAGCATTTCCTGTGACCAAGGGCACCTGATTCTTCTTCTGCTTGTTCATTTTGCTGACCTTTGCTACATTCATGGAGACCTCTACTGCCTTCCCTGATCTTTGCTACAATTAGAGATACATCTACTGTCTGCTGCCTGCCCTAACCCATGCTACAACTTCAGTCTACGCCTTCTGTCTACCAACTGTCCTCACTCCACCACCAAAGTGCCCTCCATCTTGTTTGCCTCCAACACTGTACAATACATCTCCCCTTTTCTATCTTGGATCCACTTGTGACATTTTAGAGACAGATATAGCTTTGTGTATTAAGTCCTGGGGGCAACCTCGTAACCTGGGGGCAACCTCGTAAGCTAGCTTGCCTTAAGGGAAGGGAGTTGCTAAAGGCGAAGCTACACTTGACCGCTATTTTACAGGTCTAGTCACTAAAGGGTTTGGAGAAGGCAAGAGAAGTGAACAATCTAGGCCAAAATAGCTGATTTATAAAAAGTCTCCAATTCAGTTCACTTTCCAGTTCAGCTAAGTTGTGTAGATTGTTCACTTCTCCAAATTCTCCACCCTTTAATGAATAGACCTGTTAATGTCAGCTGATTAACAAATGAACCTGTTGGCCATGTCAGCATGTTTTATGTACACCTCCCAAGACCCATGAGGTTTACCGTATACATTTATTTGTATCAGTAGAGAAATTATTATTATTATTATTATTATTATTTCTATCTATCTATATGTGCACATATTTTTTGAGGTGAAAAAAGGATTAAAAATATGAAGTAAAAAATGGGAAAAAAATTATTTTATTTTTGTTCTAGAGAGAAAAAATGTTTTATATCTCATAATAATCATTTAACTTTCACTCTATTGCTGCATTTCCCAATGTCTTATTGTTTGTTAAATGTAGACAATGCTGATTAACTACTAGGGGCAGGGTAGGTTAGCCAGTACAATTAACTTTTCATAACTGCCTGACAACTGTGGTGATATGTTCAGGGAGTGCATTCTATTCAGTTACTCAGCTGATTCTTTCAAAGTTTTCAAAGCATTAACACACAAATGTAACATAGTTTACACCAAAAGATGGTCTCTTCAATATGTGCATAGGATATTCTGGTCCATCAAGTTTGTCTTTTAATCCTTTAGCAACATACATTACATTTCCCTTTTCTTACTCTTCTTCTTTTTCCCAAATCCCAAATAAGATCCTTATTTTTCCAGAGCCCAAAAAGTATAAATTTGCCTCCTGCAGCTTCCAAGATATGTTAAAAATGCACTACAATCCCTTGATATAAATGCATTAACCTTTTCAGCAAATAAAAACCTGATAGTGGACAGCTACAGTTACTGTTGCATGCCTCCAACCTTCTAAGATGGGAAGCCGGGACATCTTTTGGCACAGAATATTTAAATTAGCCCTGTCACCACATAATCACTTGTACATAGTAGGAACCATCATAGGTATCATTACAAGGGTCCCTAATTCCTTTGGTGGGGAAATAATAGTCTTATAAATTATTATAAAAAATCAACACCAACTTTTGGTTAAATGCAACACTACTAGAATGGGCCTCATTTACCAATGTGTCTGAGACAAGATTTGTTTCAGACTGTCTGTGCTTCCCATAGCATCCTGTCAAGGCTGTATTTCCCAGATAGTGCCAGACAAGTGCCTGATTCAGAAGGGTGAGTGACAGCAAACCTCAGAATTTACAAATTACAAATTCCATATCTTGCTTCCTTGATCTGTCCACTGATGAAAATATAAGGCTAGATTTTGCAAGTGAAGTATAGGGGAGGGGGGAGGTGCTGAGGATGCTAAGATGAGTCATATGGCTCTTTATAGTTCAGGGTGCATTAAACTATTTTTCATTATGTACAGTTGAAAGGTAGTCCTGCATATAAAGCACATGCTGCCAATGATTATGCAGTTATTGCAGTACTTTTACTAAAATAATCACATGATACAAGGGGTGGAGCGTGTAAAAAAGGGGGCCAACCCAACATTAATGTGTGCCTAGAGCAGTATGATACCTAAATACAAACCTGCATCCAATCAAATACATCTTTTGACTTGGTTTGAATCTGATTGGCTGCTGTTTCCCACCTTGGGACAATTCCCTCTGGTATAGAGGATCCAGTATTAATTACAGAATATTCCTCAGCTGCAATAGCTAATGTAAAGTCTTGTGTATCAATGCTGAAATGTTTTCTGACTGTGTGTACATGTTATTTTATTATTTAGAAAGTTATTGTTATTTGTGTCCACCTGTGGGTGACAAAAGGGACATCCAGAGTGTATAAATAATCCAGTCATACCCTTCTTGCCATGCCTGAGGGATAAACTATGTTTATAGGAACATATTCTAAATAAGTTTACATATTGTTTCTATTTTCAGGCATACATTTTCATTATTCATCCTTCAGGCTATTTACATATAGTGATTATTATAAAACAACTTGTTGAGATAATACATTATTTATTAAAGGATCTAGCTTCTTAAAATATAATATATTGCTATAATAGGAAAGCCCATTGTGTACCTACATATGCATGTCTCAAAATACTAAAGAGATCTTCCATTCTTGTTATAGAGTATACATTGGGAAAGACTATTGCTTCAATGATAGAGCAACATATGGGGCCTAAAAATAAGTCTGAAGTCCAAACTTTGGGACTTTTTGGCTCCGTTTATATCACCGCATTCACTCTATTTTTAAAGAAGATTTTTATATGTTGACTCCTGAAGTATTTTTTAATTAAAAAAAAAGAACCTTTTTTTTTTTTTTGCATCCCACCAATGCATGAGAAGAATGTTACAAAGGTGCAAGACCTCCATCAGTAACAGCTCTGAAATCTCCCTTACCCGCTTGTACCTTGATTTGATACAGTAAATATAAGGATTGCATGCTTTTATTGCACTGAAAGTTCCATTTCCTTATTTGTGATACTTTTATATAGTACAGGAACAATTTTATGAACTTTAACTTTTGAAACTAATTTTCACCATGTTGTTCTTTACATTTACTATCTTAACAATACATTCATAATGCTTTATTTAAATGACATTATGAGATGAAAACCAGAGATCTTGTACCTTGAACCACTGTAAATCAGTCATGCCCAGCCTAGCAAAGAGCCTGCTATAATAATCTTTTGCAAAAGGCCATAAAACATAATGGTAAACTAAAGGAAATAGCTTCAAAGACGTTCTCCAATGCATGTCCACTGCCCGTGAGGGTGTAGCCACCACTTTAGGGTTAAAGAGGAGGGCTGACAGGTGAAAGTGGGAAGGTTCTGACATCATTAGGATGTTGCTTTCCGTAACTTAGATAGTTGGAGGAAAACCTGTCACTGCTCGGATCTGTGTATTCCTATTACTGCAGTGAGGTGAAGGCACACATTAGTATAACTTAGTATAACTCATGAATCCATATAACAGCTACAGCTGGGATACCCCAGCATCCCCTGGTATGTATTTTGTATTCTATTTTTATTCATATGCTCTCCATATGCTCTCCATATGAATCTAAGAAATGTTGATGATTCCGTTTTCTTTTTCTCTTTAATAATCATGATTTACATTGCATCTTATACATATGTTTTATCTTACAGAACAGAGGAAAAAATATTCCAACTCAAATGTCATCATGCATGAGACATCTCAGTATAATGTTGAGGTAAGTGTGTTCGCCAGTAAATGGCAGGTGACAGGTGACAGCAAAGTGATTGTATTATGGACTTTGTTTGTGCAAGTGAGACATGGAACCTCACGGGTTCTAGAACCATAAAAATGGGTGTTGGCACAAGATAGTTTTGTCACTGTAGGGTGCCATGCTACATATCTTTATCAGATGTTATATAACAGTATGTATGTACAATTGGCTTTCTTATAAACTTGTCTATCAAAAGCCATTCTTCCACCCTACATAGTCACCAAGGCAAAAAGCCTATGTTTGTCCAAGTGTCAGCCTTGTGACGCACAGTGTTTTATGTGGGATATTATGCTATATCTCTCTTGGTGGCAAAGGTACTATAATGTGTTATATAAATAGACATAGTTAGGCTTTATACAGTGCAATTATGTTGTCCACAGTTATTGCAACTAATCTTATTTCAAAGATTAATTATGACTAGTTGCCTTGGACTATTGAAGTTTACATTTTCCTTTTTGTCTCCTTAAAGTGATGCTAAACTCAGGAGTTAAATCTTAAAAATGCATTCAAGTACCTTAACTTTTTAACAAAAATTTATCTTATTTGTGCACCACTCAGCTGTAGATCCTCAAACCATCTCTGAATTTCAGAGATGATTGGAGAATCTACAGTCAACTGGTGCACAAATAAGATACATTTTTGTTAATAGTTAAGGTACTTGAATGCATTTTTAAGTTTTAACTTTAGTTTAGTGTCACTTTAAATAAGGCCAGTTTGTTGTTTTGGCAGTGTGCAAAGGACGGGCCTGTATAATGACAGCTCTGGTGTCAAAAGCATGAAATGGACAGTACTATAAAGGGTGTGTAAACAGTTTAACAACATGAAACTGTGTGCTCAGAAAAGACAGTTATACGTGGCATTTTCTGCATACAAACTTAGAAAGAAAGGGCCCTTAGGAGAAGGCAATGGTTGTTGATATAGACTCGCAAGTTGTGATCAGACACAGCATTGTTCTACTGTTTCTTTTTTTTAAATCAGTTTGTCTAAATGATTTGGCCATGAGAGTTTATATATGTGATTCTGTATATTTATTAGATCCTAATTAATTGCCATAACAGTTTGCACAAGAAGTGTCTCTTTGATGTGGGTGTCGGTATTCATGGCTTTTGAAGACACCAACAGAGTAAACTACTGTCTGAAGGGAGCTTTTTATTGTTAAGTGGTTCACTACAATGCTATGACCCAGTCCACTCAAGACAGATATTTCACTGTTTGGCAGACACGGGTGGGCAGAAACATCTAGCAGGGTTTTATTTTATTTACCTCTCCTAAGGTTCTAATGTGAGATTTCTGTTCTTGATTTTAACAATTGCTCACCTTTTGTATTTATTTTCATTGTATCATTTCTGCTATTGGTTTCAATCATGCTTTACATTATGAAAATAAATATGGAGAAAGGAAAGGCAGCTGGTGTAGTATAACTATATTGGGATAGGGGGAAGTACCAGGAAATCTAGTCTGGTTTTCTTAGCAGATCTCCCCATTGGAGTCCTCAAGAGATAAAAGAAGCTAGTGGGTGATCCATCTCATTGCTTGCCACCAAATTATCTCTTATGGGATGTGCTGACATTTTAATACTTGGAGGGACTCTGTCACTTCTCAATCAGGGCACAGTGACAATGTGTACAGATAGTCCTCCACCCAGCTTTCTTACTTACTAAACCATGCTCCCTCCCCGCCTGCCTTGCTGCATCCTTTCCTGTCTAACCGACAGTGTCAGCTGGTGTCAGAGCTTGGACATTGAGGAATTTCAGGGGCCCTCCACTTGACAGTACTGGGGCCTGGTGATTGGCCGCTTAGGCCTGAACACTATCACATGGATAAGGTCATGTGCTCCCTCATACCCAGAAGCCCTACTTTACTAGTGAGGGCTTCAGCGGTGCAGGAAGGCAACATGGGAGCATCAGTGAATGGCCATGAACTGCAGTCACTTTGGCACCCACCCGACTCTAAGGGTATTATTCGGTCAGGAGTGTGAAGGGTACACTGGATTTTGGCCCTGAACTATGTCTCCTTAAGATAGTCACTATAATATATATTATCTTTAAAAACAAAGCTGTTTAACTTCTCTGTAAACTCTTCAGTTTGCCCATGTGATAAATAGAACACTTACAGTCATTCGGTTAGTTGGCAGCCTAGATGAGTCCATGATTAACCAGCATGTGTCCAGGAAATAGTTCAAGGTACCTGTATAAAGTAGATAAGGATGACAGCTAAGCGCCCAGTTGGTCTTAAAGAGGTAGTGAAGGGAAGTAACAAAAAAACCCAGGAGCTTTAAGCTTTAACCCATAATAAGCCACAATCTGCTAGTATGCACAGCATATGAACACATTATGACAGACTTACCCGCCAAGCCAATCCCCTCTAGCACTGCTATCTCCCCTCTCCAGCGCTTCCATCTTCTGCTCAGTTCTTTTCCGTGTTCGGCCTCTTCATTTGCCGTGCATGTGAGTTACTTTATCTCGGCATGCTGGGTCTGTGTACTAAGCTGCGCATGGATGGTTCAGTGTATGATTAAGAAAAAGGCCAAATGGTAGAAAGAAGCTTTTATAGCAGAAGAGACTTACATAGTCTCTTCGGCCACAAAAAGTCTACCAATCAGCGTTTTTAAAAAAAAATCCTTTACTTCCACTTTAAGGAGGCAGTATAGAGTATTTTCAGTAAATGTTTCCTTTGAATTATCATTGCAATGTTTACTGCAACATAATTTTCATGTGTTTTAAACATTTTTATATTCTTGTTCCTCCATATTTTCATTATTGTATTAAATTGTATTGTATTGAAAACTTCAAGACTAAGCATATCAACTGTTCAGATAAGCTATCAGCCACAAAGAGAATGCTTTGGGGTTGATTTGCTAAAGGAGTTGAGGCAGTTCACCTAGCCAAATGAACATTCACTTTGCAAAGTGTATGCTAGTAAATAAGGTGAAGCTATATTCATGTTCAAATCATATGCAAGGGAAATAACTAGCAAGTGATTGGTTGATTGAAGTGACCATAGCTTGAGTTTATTCACTAAGCTAAGTGAACACTGAATATTCAGATTGCCAAGGGAACAGTCTCTACTCCTTTAAGAAATCAATCCAATTGTTTTCAGTGAGATGATCAGCTCATAATGGTTGCTTTATTAACCGATTAGAGACTCTTCACATAGCAAAGTGATTGTTAGTACATACTATTAGGTGATGTTCACTTTCAATACCCAATCTTGTGCTAGCAAATCTTTTTTTATATTTTCCTAGCACATCATTGGGTATTTAAAGTGAACACAGCTTTAATGTATTTACTAACATTAACTAACGCCATTGACTTATATTGCAAGTGGTAAAACACAATCAGGTATATTACTGCAAAGCAGCAAGCAGAGCATGCAAGAATCAAATATGGCTGCCCCAATGTACATATATAATTATAAATCATACATAGAAACAAGATTCTAAAAAAACACACTGATATGATTATTTATATCATGTGTATATGTACAAAAAAACTGAAAAGACTTCAAATTCACTTTGAATAAGCACTATAATGTTGTTTGATCGGTTGGAAAGGGTCAAACGCAGATACATTGATAAGTGGTGAGTGTACAGCACTTCTATACAGCGGGGTGTGTTCAGCATTTCACAGTGACACAGAAAGCCAGCTTAGACTCAAAGTTCAGACGCTGCTCAACAAAGCCACTCCTTTAAATGACACCAGATTTTTCAAAGTTAATAGGAGATGAGCTGTGTAATGAGTGACAAAGAAGGCCATATCAGCCTTACTTGTCTATAGAAAAGAATAGTTTTAATGTTTTCTCCTTGTATGTAAAGGAAATCATTTCTATGTTTTTAATTTCAAACATTAACCCCTTCATGACTGAGGCCCTTTTTTCATTTTTTGCACCCATGTTATATTCCACATTTTAGGCCTGAAAATGACGTAAAACCCCCCAACATTATATATTGACAGTCGGCTCTACAAATTTAAACAGACTCCCGGCGGCAAAAGTCGCCCGGGAGTCTGTTTAAACAGCCCCGATGCTGGCGACGTACACTGTACGTCGTCAGTCACGAAGGGGTTAATATAGTGCCAACAAATTACACAGCACTTTACATCAATCCCTCTCCTCAAGGAGCTTACAATCTAAGGTCCTCATTGTAAACACACACAAGGTCAAATTAGACAGGAGCCAATTCAGCCTTCCAGCATGTCTTCAAAATGTGGGAGGAAACCCGTACAAGAATAGGGAGGACATGCAAACTCCTTGCAGAACCGTGCACCCGCAGTGCTGTAAGGCAAAACTGCTAACCACTTCTTCACTGTGCTGATTCTAATGGAGTAGCTAATGAATTGTAATATTAGGTACCCTGTAGGCAGCTAATGTACCAGGGCTGCCAACTAATTCTTCATTTGCCGATGCATTATATGTACACAGGCTCATGATTCACTGGATAAGGACCTCGAATATACCTCATACTACCTAGAGCCCTCCCTAAATGGGCACATGCCTGGTAGGCACTGGCAGGTTCCAATTTGTCTAGCAAAGCTACTGTCATTAGCTGTCAGTGGTCACTGATAAGTGGTGTTCCGCATCAGTGCTTGCTAAAATGTAAACAAAAATCAATATATTGTATTAACGTTAAACTGAGCTCAAAAGCTGATCTCTGAATTTGTGCTGACACTGTCCTTCCTTCTGGAAGGCGGCTACTTTTGTTCCTCATGGTTCTTGTGTGTCTGTGTTGTAAAGTAGCCACCACACCAAAGTTCGCTGCCATGATGGACTACAATCTCGCATTTAGTTTACTAACTTGTATTGAGATTGTAGTCTATCATAGGAGCAAGAGGGACAAAAGTAGCCGCCCTCCAGGAGGAAGGACAGTGTCAGCACCAATTCAGAGATGATTTCAGGATCTACAGCCGAGTGATACACAAATAAGCTAAATTTTTGTTAATAGTTAAGGTACTTAAATGCATTTTAGG